TGCTTTTTAAAAGCAATAACAATTTTGCCATTAATTTTACTAAGGTAACAAGATAATAAAATGCAAAAAAAAAGGTAATACCAATTTTCCCGACATAAGAATAACATCCATCTAATGGCTGTATGTATACATAGTCAGCCTCCGTAGTTCGTTTAACGAATTTGAAACAAGACATTTGTTGTAAATCAAACATCGACTCTATGATTATAGCCTGTCTGCAACAAATTTTAGTTTTAATATTGTCGATAATTTGTCGTTTAAAAGTCATCCAAAAAAGAAAAAAAATGAAAATAAAATAAAAATTTTTTTAGATTTTTCTTTTTTGCTAACAAAAAATACTTATTGGTGTACAAAGCATACTCTTGCTGGTCATATAATGGCGAAAGTACATAAGGTACAACGTTATTGCTCCAGAAGCTTATAAAGAGGGGCATTTCCTGCGAATTACTAGGTTTCCCATATTTCCGATACTGTTTTGGAGCCACTACTGAAATGTGTGTCATTGAAACCAGATAATAATATGGAAGCTATAAAAATCTGCAAAAAATTTTCTACTCTTCTTCTTGCTGTTTTTGCTAAAATGATCATAGTACAGTTTTCATATTTTTGGCTTATTTTATTTTGAATAACTTTTTTCTCGGACTTTATTGCCGATTATTGTTTGCATATTTTCAAAGAGTCTATTGCATTAGCTAAAATAGAGTTCCTACTTTATTCACAACAATACGCTTTTATGTCCATAAAAGTACATAAAAACAATCGACAAATAGCCAACTTAGAATAAGTTTTACAAAAAATTGTTTTTCTATAGCTTAAATATTATTTATTTTACCCTTATCAGCAATCAGAAAAATTAAACAAAAATATCTCATTTTAAATGTATAGTTTACAGCATAGATTATACTCTGTTACAAATCAGATAATTTTTAGTACAATAAGTCTTTTGTAATCATTCTTTAACGATTTAACGATTACTAGAATAAAATGCAAAAATTCTAAGCTTCAAATTATTTTCAAGTTTTAAAGCTTCTACTATTATTTTTTGTTTAGACAAAGATTCTGGAAAAAGGTTAAAATTAATCTGTAAGACTTTTTAGTGACATATTGATATTTTACACAAATTTATTAAAAAACCTTAAAAGTTTAGCACTAAATAAGCGTTATAAGCCAAGACAACAAAAATTAAATTTGAATACTGTGACCAACTACAAAAGATTTTGATTGATCATAGGTATGTTAGCGTATTATCAGCTGAATGATAGATTTGATAAGGTTATTATCTATTGCTTACTCAAATATGTAGTAAAATATTTTTACTTAACCAGTATAAGAATAAGTCACATACAAATATCGCCGTAACGTGTGATTGATTGATTCTGTAAATTAATCTCCCAGGGATGGATTGGGTTATCAGCAATTACCGGCAAAGACTGTAGCGAATAAACTGCCAAAATAAGTTGAAGTAACATTGTTTATTGACCTAAATAACTGTTAAAATAAAATATCAAAAATTTGATGCTAATAATCTGTAAAAACAGTATGCAAAAAGTGAAATGTATAATTATACGTATAACATAAATATAGCAGAAAATAAGGGTAGGAAACGCCAAACAACCATCTTTTTTACTGATGTTGTTGCGTTTTGAAGTATACGTTGTTTTAGTGACAATTTATATAGACCAATTGCTATAGTCGCCACTGTCCAATAAAAATAGTATAAAACTGACCTAAAGCAATATGCATAAAATTTTTGGTTTAACAACAGTGCTTTTGAAACTGATTTAAACTGTGTAAATAGAATTACTAATAGTAAAAATATCACACTGCAATTGTGAAAAAGTTTCAAAAAAATAATCTGTTGAAGGAACTTTGTTTTGTTGAACCATAAATCGTCTGTAGTGGGCAGCAGTTAACGGTTTTGCTGCTGGACACATACATATCCATAAACAACATTTCATACAGATACAAACGTGGCTCAGCTATGTAAACAAGGGTATTGTTAAGCATTAGAAGATTTAGTAATGAAGCTTTACAATGTTATATTTAATTGCAATACCATTTTCTAGATACAAACAGTGTCCACTAATCTTATAGCTTTTGAAAAAGATCAATACCTTTTTTTTTATGATATAAATTTAATTCATATTTTGCACTAAAAGTATGCGAAAAAAAAAAATTGAAAGAAAGAAAGTAGACGAACAAAATGTTGAAAAAAAAAAAAGTGCTATATTTTGATATTCAATTTTATTTTGCCAACAAACTTATTTGTTTGCTTATATTTTTTTGTGATATTTTGGACACATTTGATAAATCAGAATTATTTTATTCATTTAATTTTCTTTTTTGCAGTTATTGTTTAATTTTAGAAAAACTAACAGTTAAACAGCTGACTGACTCTTTAGAATCAATTTTGACTGATCAGTTGACTCCCGATGACGATTACTGAAGTACTAATGTTAAGTTTCATCTTACACATTATTATTAATAATTTATGTTAATCAGTGTAATTTACAACTTCACCATTATACTTTCTTATTTAGTTTCGTATTTCTTTCTATTCTGCTCCTTTATAAGACCATAGCAGATCCAACAAAAGCAATACATATCTCTTCAGTAAATTAAGTTCAACACTATCAATTATGCACAAATTTAGTGCAAAAAAATGATCTCACCTTCAAAAACAGAAGTCACTTAAATAATGAATAAATCAAAAAAAAAAAAAAAAAAAAAA